TACAGATTTAGCCCAAGGTACATAATTCTCTCCATTCAGTTTAATGGAGGTCATTTGAACATTCAGGTAGTCAGTAGGTATCATCACATTAGATTTGCTATCACTGTTATCTCCCATTGCTGAATTCTGTTATCACTGAATTCGACACACTGCACACTACTTGATCACACTGGTTTCAACACTTGTTATTGTTGAAGGTTGCACTCTTTACACCACAAACCCTACCCTATGACTACTTGAAATCTCACCACTATATAAGAACCACTCCCCCCTTCTAATCACACAAAAAGCAGCATAAACCCTAGCACACTACAGTCTGAAATTCCATCATACGATCTGAAACATACTTCCTATTTGATTCATAACAAAAAATATGCATAGAAATCTCTTACCTCATCACCCGAAAAACAAACCACACAAGAAGAAAATCAGTCCACACAAGACACCCACTGCACCACACGAATCAACCCTCTTCTCTTCATCGATTAGGGGAGGGCTTCTTAGAAACCACAACAACCGACCATGAACAACACAACTGGAGGCATAGAAACCTCCAAGGGAAGAGGGCGACCACTCCCTTTCAGCCCTTTCCCTTATCTCCAATTGATGGCAGAGAAATCAAGAGAAAACCCTAGATTGAGTGCGCAGAAATCTGGGCAGATCCGAGTTGCTTAGTTGAGCTTTGATAAATATAATTTGGCCTGCCTTTGAGTTCTGTTAGTCTGATAACAGCCAAGAAGAAAGAAGAAGAAAGAAGGAAGAAAGAGAGAGAGAAAGGAGAAAAGGAGAGAGGAAAAGTCTAGTTCAAATTAGGGAAAAGATCCTTCTCCCATTCGGCCATACGTGTTTTATATTATTAATATAATGGAAAAGACACATGTGCTCTTATTTAAGTGAGGGACACTAGTTCTAATATAATATTACAGATCATCAACCTCAATATAAGTATAAAGACAGAAATGCCCCTACTTCAACACTTTTATCCCCTTGTTGAAGAGAAAAATAATTTTGGTATAATTGGTAAATTCTTGTAACACTGTCTTGTCTAGAAAACAATTGCTTGGCATGGTTCCAAATCTCCTTGGCTGTGTCTAGAAACATAAGGTTCAAACTAATGTGATTCTCCTTATAGTCCAAAGGGATGTCATAATTTGGGCATTCTCTTCTACCCATTCATTGTACCCTTCTGATTCACTTTTCAATGGACCCTCCTTGATGTACTTCAATTTGCCTCTTGCAATGAGAGATACCTCAATCGACTTGGCCCATGGGATATAATTAGTACCATTGAGTTTCACTATGATTAATTGAGAAGTCATGAAATCTGATTGCACAACTACTGTAGGTTTAGTGCTACTATTTGATAAATCCATGAATGAGAAGAGATCACTGATTTGTCACCTAGGCAAACTGTCAAACAACTGGTATGCAATTATTGTAACACACCTTTTTCTTTAGAAAAAACACCAAAAATTGGCAGCCCTCTACTTTAGAAACACTTGGAAAGATTACACACTTACCACAAGGTGTCACCACACCACAAACCACTACAAATTCACTACATATTAAGGAGAACCAAAAATCATCACCCCTCTCTTCGAATTGTCGAAAATAGGGCTTTTAGAAAAATACCACCAATCACACAACACTACAACTTGAGGCATTAAAGCCTCTTTTCCAAGTGGACAATCAGTCCTCTTAAGTCCTTTTCCTCTCCAACAAAGAATAGAGAATATTCTCTATTCCTAGGGCACAAAAAATTGAGAGATAGTGCCGTGAACAGTACAGTCAACCTCAAGGCTTTGATACCATGTTCCAAGTTTAATAAAGAAAAAAAAAAGGTGAAGAAAAGGATAGGAGAAAAAAAGGGAAGAAGATAGGAAGAGAAAGAGAGAAAAGAGGAAGACTAGCAAGGAGAAATCTAATCTTCTCTCCTTATTGTCGACCTAGGTTGTATTAGCATTCTACTAAAGATGAAATGACTATAATACCCTTAGCTAAATTACAACAGACATAAGAGAGAAAATTAAAATGAAAAAGACAATAATGCCCTTGTTAACTAATTCTAACAATTCTAACAAAGACAAAATAACAACAGTTCGAGTGAGGCAATCATCTAAAAGAATATAAATTTCTCTCTTTACCCTAGTCATTTTATCAACATAGATGCATCAATCATGATTGGGGATCACCATCAAAACACATTAAAGAAGCAACCTTCTAGATATTACTTTCAGAGAACAAGCAATTCAAGAGACTGAATGATCATATTATTATCAGACCAAAAATCAATACAGTAACATCTATATTAAGTATCGTAAAATTCAACTGTTGTGACTTAGATCATCATCATCATGAAATCATTTAAACCTTGTTGTAACTATATGGGGTCGGCTGAATCCTATTTTTCCATTTCGTTTTGTTTAATGCCATATCCACACTTAAGATATGGGTGCTTAAATTATTTCTTACTACATCCATCAAGTCCTTTTCGGTCTACTCCTAGTTCTTCTAGTCCCTTCAACCTGTAACAGATCACTTTTTCTAACCGGTTGTAACTGGTGCTGTAAATGGTCTAAATGTTGTGACCTTGATAATGAGGTGAATATGTTAACTGTGCTCCAGTCTCTGGATGTCATTTGATCCTCCACAGAGATGAAACTACTCTTGATTGCAGCTATCCAGGGTGTAAAGGACGTCTCAATCTTTTTTTTTTTTTTTTTTGCTTCAGAAAATTGCTTAATTACTTAGAAAACTTTGAATACAAAGTTGTGGGTTCGAAACCCATTCATCTTCAATGTTCGACCCATAGCACCATGCAGCCAAGGCATGAACTAATCCATTAAATTGTCTCTTAACATGAGAGAAAGAAACATAATGTAAACCCAATACTATTTGCCGGGCATCCAAAAGAAGATGTTTCCATTGCCATGGAGCAATTGGATCTTTTGACTTCATAAGATTGATGACGGGATATACAATCGCCCTGAATAAGCATATTCATCTCCCAACATGAAACATACGAGCATATTCATCTCAAGAGGGGCACTACCACTAGAATCAGGGAATAGTTAACCTACTACCAAGTGGCAGATACGGGTGAATATTTGATTTAATCTGTTAAAAACGAAACCAAATTAACCGAACTTGAAAATCTAAAAACTGAAACGATAACCGAAATACACCAAAACCAAATTTCCGGTTCGGTTTTCTGGTTTGAACCGAATAACGCTCACCCCTAGTGGCAGACAAAATAAAAATGTCCTCCGACCTCAGCATCCAAAGATTAATCCCAAGTTAGATACAGCATACAGGAATGTATAGATGACTGAGTGACTCACAGCGTTTTTATCTTCACATCCAACAGTTCAGAGGATTTATTAAAATATATTCAGTTTCTTCCACTTGACAAAGAAAAACAATTAAAATCAGAAAATCAAACAGGAAAACTGAGAAGACACCAGAATCTTACTTTGACAACCAGAGTCCGCAGAGAAAAGATCCCCGGGGCGTCCACTCCGTTTAAATAAGCCTTAACTTCCGGGATACCCGATCCCGCTGCCGCAGGTGCTATGAACGTCGTTATAAGCGATGAAAACAGAAGAAGAACGAAATTTGAAGCGGCAAAAACAGCGAAAGCCGCCGCGTACCTGTGCGAAATAGTCGAATTTAGTAGAAAAGAAAATCCTCCAATTGATACGAAATGACAAGCAGAATTCAAAATCAAATAGAACAAAATTTTATAGTCCCTAGATACGAGAAAGATGTTACTAACTTTCTCTCTAACATCATATTCGACGTGACAACAAATTTCAATCCGGCAATATTCTCGATGGCGAGGTTGTTGCAGAATCCGGTGAATCCAGCAAAAATGCCAACGAAGAAACACAACGTCCATTTCATGAATACATACTGTAAATTCTGGACCTTACCATGACCTCTCCAGTTTTGCTTGAAGAAATCATTCTCAATTATCCTGCAACCAGTCACAAATCGATACCAACAAATTCAGCAAAACAAACAGACGAAGAAGAAAAAAGAGGACATAGACTCAATCTCAATATAACAAACATCTCCGCCAAACTCACTCGTAATCCAAGCTCTCGATGGGGCACACATTGGAGCCAACAATCGCAACCTGAGAAGTAGTGTTGGAAGCCGATCCATGGAGCAGTAACCGTTGCTCGCCGTCGAGCAGCGGTTGACTCGAAGGCGGAGCTTCTTCGTCTGCTTCCGTCGCCATGATTCGAGCGCGCTGCACCTTGGAAGTTACCCGCCACAGCTAAATAGACAAGGGTTACGAAACATGATTTCGCTTAGTCACTTCGAACGTAGGAACTCTAAAGAGAAAGAAGACGATCCCATGTAATTGGCATACGGCGTCGACGACGATGACGATGACAATGATGATAACCAGCAAGAGACAGAGGAAGCTCGCTTTATTCGCTTTGTACAATTCTACTTGCAACTACTTTGAAGTTTTTAATCGCTGCTGAAACCTTCTCTAAAGTTCACCAACTTTCTCGTACAATTGCAAGTAGACCCAATCATTATTATTGAAGTTGGTTTCTACATAAAAACAATAAAAAAACACAGAATTTATACTGAGGGTAAATTCGAAAAATAAATCAATTTCAATCGAAAGGTTTGAGCCAGCCATTATATGAAGAGAAAAATTGGAAAAATAACATTTTAGTTATGGTATTTTGGGCATTCTCATATCTTTTTCAGAAGATTTTAACAAATTAAAAAATTTGTTAAAAATTTTAAGGAGATATATTAAAAAATTGGTTATGGTCTATTTGCAATTATATTAAAAAATTTTAAGGAGATAATTGCAATTATCAAACTTTAAAAAGATTTCAACAACAATTAAAAACTTTCCGGGGGAAATTTTAACAATTTACCCAAAAAAATAACTTGCATGGTGAAAAAGTAGTCATCCACATAAAGTGGCGCTACATCAACCATATTTTTTTGACACGGTCGTATCAATTATTGTATGCTTATTTGGGGGGAGAGAGAGTCTTAATCCAGGGGAAAGAGAAGTACGACTCACAACACCAACCTTACATCACTTTTAAGTTTCAGCCATGCATTGAGAACATCTTCATCTGATATTGCAATTCATGGGAAGATATTATTAATGTATGATTGGGGTAAGACCGTAAGGAGTAAATCCAATTTCTTGTTGTGGATTTGGGCATAAAACAAAGAGTAAATTGTTGAAACCTCTTATGAAGTTTTTTACTGCAATCATTCATGAAAATGTCTAAAATATCCATGCAGTAACTTTTAACTAAAATGTTTATTTTTCAATTTTTTTAAAATCAATTATTACCTTAATCTCTTCTAATATCTTTTCCAAAATTGATTTATTTTTCAAAATTTCCCTTCATCACTTAAAGGTAAAATTGCAATTTTAAACTTTCATTTTTTTTTGTGGTTCATAAAGTTTGTATTTTTTTTTTGTAGAAATGAATTTCAACAATAACTGCATGGTTATTATAGATATTTTTGTGCCTCTTGTTTGAGGATTCTAAAAGAGGGAGCCTACTTGCAACTGTGTCAAAATGTTTAGAGGAGGTGATTGTAATTGCCAAATTTCAGGGAGGTTTTAACAATTTACCCTAAAACAAAAAGACGAATTCATTGGATGGAAATCAAAATTTCTCTCACAAAATTAGTCCTCACATGGTCACACCCCACCCCGCATACAAGTTTGGATGGGCTCCCCACGGCATGCCCCCACATACACATCCAACTGTGCATGGAAATATCTTTAGTACTTATGGAGAGCCATGCAAATTCCTCACAGCCATGCATTAGAAACATCTCCCATGAATAAAAAATATATAAAATCAGATTACATCTTCACAAAATTGGTTATCACAATGCTTCAACCCTGTAAAAGTGTTGTGAGGACCAATTTTAATTTATAAAAATAAAATCTAATTCAAAATATACAAATACCAAGATATTCTCAATGTGTGACTGCAATGGCTGTGAAATGGGTGTGAGGACCCTTTCTTTCTTTGTAAGGTAATCCAAATTCCACTTGATGTACACTTGACGCAAGAATTTTAATTGAAGAAAAATCGATATGGAGCTAATGGGTATAGAATCCTCCATGTGTTTGAAGCTTCTAGGAAGGAAGTAGGAAGTGTACGTAAAGATTCTATTATTTGTTTTTTTTTTTTAAATCATTAGCCAATCTTCAGTGTGATGGTAAGTCTATTCTTTGGCATTTAGCAAGGAGGTTTGCTTGAAGTCTTTTTGCACAAGCAACCAAAGGAATTTAGGCTCAATTTGAAAGAAGTACAATAATACAAATCTGTAGAGTACAAATACAAAATCTTATATTTTGTATTATTTGTTATATATTTGCACTGTATATATTTGTATTTATACTCTTTCCAAACTGAGCCTTAGGGGTGTAACTGGTGGCAGCCTGATTTGGAAAATTTCAACTACATTTGTTTTGAAAATGGGATCAAACCCACGGAACTATAGCTGTCCTGATTGAATTAAACTGATTATATCGGTTCTATCGTTTTGTCCCAGTTAATAATTGGGTTGGTTCTAGTTCTTACTTATTTCAAAATGATTCAAATCCAAATCAATAATAATAATACATATTTTTTTTTTATTTTTTTATTTTTATTATATTTTATGTTTAAAAGGATAAAATTGATACATAACATATAAGATAATTTTAATCCAAACTTGATTTATTAACATATAAATAATTTACATAAGAATTATATATGTCAGTATAATCAAATCAGGTCTATTGGGTCAAACCCAATTATTAATTGGGACAATTCTGGATCAGGTCTGGTATTGTTGAACTAAACTGATCCATTGGCAGCCCTATACGGAACTATAAGCTCTCCATGATATAAGGTCAATGTGCCTCATGTGTGCACCCTCTGGCCTCTGTCCCTACTACTGAACCCCCTGTAATGTGTATTATGTAAAATCCAAAGAAGGAAAAAACGCCTTTGGGATGGAGGAGGGGGAATGACGGAGAGGGCGCATATGAACAATATATGCAGAATTGTAAATATTAACAAAGGGAGACAAATGTAGATGGAGAAAGACACAAGATGAGGGTCATTAGGGTGTATTTAATATATGACATTTGATGGAAGAGGGAGAGAGGAAAAAGCTGCATGCTATGCCCACTCCCAGTCCCAGCCAATGCTTTGAAAACCTAGTCTGCAATTTCTTTTCGAAGACACAGAAAACAAGAGAGAAACAGAAAATTGAAGGAAGGTTCTTGAAGAACTCAATGAAATTTCCTAGGAAATTTCCCCTAATTTTGTCTTTTTCTCTTATTTTTCTCTTTTTCTCTTATTTTTTCTTATTTTGTCTTAAATGATGATAGAACATTGAACATACACATAGATATATGTATCTCTTATCATTTATTAAGGATGCATTTAGTACTATCTATCTAAAATATTCTAAGTCGATTAATACAAATTGGTGAGAAACATGTTCTGCACATCACATATGGGAATCACTTATCAATTAGTCAATCATAACCCAAAACCTTTTCAGGTAGAAACATGAATAGTGCTAAATACAAAGTGTCCACGTTTTTTTTTGGCAAAGTGGCAACATTTGTGGCATGGGACAAATACCTCTCAACTCAATATAAAGAGCAGGGTAGCTATCCAAGAGCTTTCGTGGCCCTAATTATTTATTCTCAAATGTATTATAAAAAATTTGATGTTCTGGATCTCCACTTAAAAAAAGGGGTTTTACCATCCACTCCAGAATTCATAATTTGATCGTACAATTTGGGTCAATATAAGGGGAAAGATGCCAAATTCATGCAAGGGCCAGGGGGGTGTTTATAGGGGGAGCTGGGAATAAATACATTTGGCAAAACAATTTCCCAATTCTGAGGTAGACTGAACACAAAATCTCTAAAAAAAGGGAAGATGAGAACAACAAGAACGAAAAAGATTGAGCATTTGAATGGCTACCTTTATTGTGGAGATTGGATGATATTCGGTTGGTAACATCTAGAGAGAGATGGATTGTTATTTACTAGAACACATCTTATAGTTTCACAGATTTATTTAAACCTGTCATATAGTTTGCATTTTACTAAAATATTCCTTATATATTGCAACCTATTTATTTGATCAACCTTTCATTAAAAACTATTTGTTTTGCCATCTGAAAATAGTAACATGATCACCTAAATTAATTAGAAAATGTTTAAGGGCATGGACCCATAGTTGTTTATTCCAAAAGTACCCCTAAACTGAGTGAAAAATATTCAAGGGTATGGATCCATGGTTGTTTATTTCAAAAGTACCCATAACACTTTTTGTATAGAAAACAAAATTGACCGAATAGAGAAAAATAGAGTGGTTGTCCATGCTTTACTAGGGGCAAAAATGATATATTTCGTTTTTAGTTTCCTTTGATTAAATTTATTTGAATGGATATTAGGATTAAAATCGTTATTTTCTATTATAATCTAATAGAAGGCCAATTAAGTAAATTGATTGCAAATTGCAAGGGATGTCTTAGTAAAGCACAAACTATATATAGCGTAGGTTTTAGTAAATTAATGAAACCACAGGGGTGCTTTAGTAAATGACCCAAAGTTATTCTTGCATTGAAGATTGAAAAGCATTCCGTGTACCCAAGGTTTAAAATTTTGATACGATATGCCCGATATGTGGTGTATCGTATTGTATCATATCTTTGAAAAATAGATATGGGATATGCATGGAAATCGGGCGTCTCGTCTTTTTTCATGCATATCGGACCTGTATCGGACCGTATTGAGGGTGTATCAGGGCATATCAGTAGCATATTGGCAAAAAAGATATGACAAAAAATGAAAAAAAAAATAAAGGGGAAAACAAGCTTCTTTTCCCCAAAATAAACCTTCTTTCACCCCTAAATGACTCTAAAATTCCAAACCTCATTCATAGAGTGCTAGATTTGCAAAAAATTTGCAAGAAATAAGTGTGAATCATTAATTTTTTTATGATTTTTCAAAATTTTGAAAAAAATATGTAAGTTTTTTCAATTTTTTATAATATCTTGTGATTTCTATTTTTTCATGAATGTTAAAATTTATGTTGATCTACATTTCTTACATTCAAAATTACAATTTTTTTGTGTTATTAGTAGATTTATGGAAATTTTATAAAGATATTTGGGGAAAATATAAATTAACAAAAAATTTGAAAATGTAATTTTTTCTCTGCCTAAAGACTAAATATGTTTTAGATCTATGGATTTATCTATCATATCCATAGAGCAATTGGAAATTTCTTCTTTAATATATATTTTTATTTTTATATTTTTAGAATTAAAAAATAAATAATAAATAATTATATTTTATCATTTGATCACAACAATTGAGTATATTATAA